GTGCTGCCTGTCACTACTTGAGCCAATTAAGCAGAGACAGGGTTGAATTATATATGCGCATTTATTCCAATACTGCCAGCAGTATGGGAGAGCAGCAGGTCATCCACAGAAATCTGCTCTGCCCCCCACTATAAGCCAGCTGCTTCTATTGGGTATTAGGACAAAGATCACATGGGAAGTAGGCAAAAGGGTATGCCAAATGGGCAGTTTACAGGTAATGCAGTCTGGAGATTTGCAAAGGCCTGCAGGTATGCAAAGAGCTAGGGGTCTTCAAAGGATTTCTACAACAAAGTTGTTAATCTTTCCATCGTAATAGGCAGCTCCCTGATGGAGAGGATGGCCGCATTTCCAGGTGAGGTCCCAGGTCCCATGTGCAACTCCCAGCCAGGTTAGAATGTGCCTTCTTTAATCAGAACAAAACTATCACAGTTAATGCATGATTAATATTTCTTACAATTATAGCTGGTCTCCCATATTCTACTTCTGTCTCTATTAACATAACATATATGTTATGTTGCTCTTTCGGATTGTATTTCTTGGTTTCTGATCAGCATAAACTGGATTTCTTGTTTAACAAGAATTTTCTCATTGTCACTTGATTATTATTTGCACTAAATTTCCAAGAAACTCAGCCTCAGGAATTACACAATGCCTCAGTTTCAATCGCAAAATTGGCAAGAAAGAAGGGAAAGAACATTTACTCCTACATGGAGATAATCCTATATAATAAAAGCCTAATATGCAAACCAACTGAACAGAACGACTGGTCACTATGACATGCACTGACCACCAGGGGGCAGATGCTCAGCGCAGGAGCTGCCCCCAACCAGCAAGCCCCAGGCCAGCCAAAGCGGGGGCCAGTGGGGAGCCCCCGATTGCCTCACTAGTTGCCCCACAGATTGGCCATGATTGCCTGCCAGGCCTAGGGACCCTACCCATGCACGAATTTTGTGCACTGGGCCTCTAGTACTATATAACTAAAATTGAAATCAACTACATTCTTGGTCTTTAGTATATCTGAGTGTAGTAAATACACTTGTAAATAAATAGGAGAGTGGAGTGTGTAATAATAGATACAGAAATTATCTAAATATAGAGGAGTTAATTTTTAAAATCTATAGAAATGATCAGCCAGCATGCCACACCAACTTTTCCATAATAATTTCATTTTAACTATTTGAATCAGTGTCAATTCTAACAAACCCTACTGAGGAAATAAATGCATATTCCTTCATTAATCACTTTATTATTTATTTTCCATTCATTTCTTTATTCGCCATACATTTATTTAAACTGTGTGAATCATGCACAGATGAATATAATTCATTGACCCCTGTCCTGAGACATTAGCTCACCTGTGACTCTTCTTTGTTTCTGGATAGTGATATAGCGACTGGAAAATCACCTGCCTTCTACTGGTGTCTCTTTTCTCTCCCCCTCGCCCCAAACAAGCCAATATGCTGAACTCTCACTTAGTGTATGGTATTCTCAAAGTCACCTAGGAGTTTAGGAATGTGCTGTCAAGAAGCTTTTCTTAATCTTTCTTCATTATCATTTTTTGAGGATTCCTTACAGACTTTTTTCCCTAAAGCTCCCTCCCCACGACATTTCAATGGCACAAATGTACTGCTTTTCTGTTTATGTACGTTGGCCCTTTAGAGGACCACATCCCATTCTAATAGCTGAGATTGTTTCCATCCCTGAAAGCCAACGTGCCCCCTTGGAAGTGATATTATTCCTCCTGCGAACGCATGGTCTTGCATCTAAGTGACCACACAGTGTGATGGGTGTCTCGCTGGCTCTCACACGTTCCTGGACTGAAAATGTTACTGTGCAGAAATTTCATTTCTTTAATCTAAACTTTTCTCCTTTTTTCCTTTTTGATTCAAACTAGCCTTGTCCAGCCCAGGAGCACCCTCACTCACTCACCTCCCTCTCCCTTGCACGTCCACTCATTTAATCATTAAGCCCCCAGGACAATTCAGTTCTGGCCAGCATCAAGTAATCTTAGGAACAAAGCTTTAGGTCTGTTGACCACAGAGACAGTGTTAGTCAAACTAAAGATAACATCAAGGCCTCCATTGTGTTTCAGCTCCAGACCTAGAAAAGTAGAACAACCCCACTGACCACACACTTGTGGACCAGACAAAATGATGCCATGGCTGACACGGACCCGATGCAAGGACCAACAACCCCCAACCCTAGCACTGACTAACCAATAGAGACCATGACCCTGACCACAACCCTAAGTCCCTTAGTCATTGAATTTAATGATTTTTCCCCCAATATAACCCATTCCCTAGACGCCGTCAGGGAGCCAAGTCTTAGAGCATTAGCTCACCTGTGACTCTGGATTTGGCACCATATTCTTAAATAAACTTCTACTTTCTTTGCTGCAAACTCCTGTTTGCATTTGATTGGGCTTTATAGTTCAGTAACAGAAGTAAGAGGTCCTTGAAAGTCTTCAGAAACTGCTAAGTGCTAGAGATGGATCTTTGCGCAAGAGTATTACTGTCCTTGTCCTCATGAAGTTTTACGATTTATAAATTATAAAAGTAATTTTAAACTGTAATTATGGGTCTGCTCTGGGTAAGATGTACTAAGTAGCAGGAGGTCATCTCTCTTACTAGAAAAAAAAGAAGTTAAATTAAAAAATCATAGTTTCAGCCCGACCTGCATGGCTCACTGGTTGAGCATTGACCTATGAACCAGGAGGTTAGGGTGTGATTCCCGGTTATAGCACATGCCCGGATTGCAGGCTCGATCCCCAGTGTGGGGCATGCAGGAGGCAGTCAATCAATGATTCTCTCTCATTGATGTTTCTATCTCTCACTCCCACTCCTTTCCTCTCTGAAATCAATAAAAATATTTTTTAAAAATCAATGGAAAAAAATATCTTCAGGCAAGGATTAACAAAATAAAAAGTACTAACAAGAAACATAAACTGACCGAACAAGATCCTTGCTGAATGTAGGTGTGGACAAAAAAGGGCCGCATGCTAACCTAACTCAGGGAAGGCCTGCATGGTGGCCTTGCAAACCCATAGACCCTCAGTAACGACAAAGGATGGTCTGAAATTAAAACTTTTTAATTAAAAATAGGTTTATGGTGGGTAGTCATGTTCTAGGCCAGTATCTTCCCTGACAAAGATCAACTTTGATCTTTACTGAGCCTTTTGTCTTTCTGCATCTAAGATAACATACCTGGAATATCAGGGTAACTTGCAACTTCCCCTTTTCCGGACCCCTCAGGGTACAACAAATGGCACCAGGGTGCAGATCATAAATTCCTTCATTGTTAGTTATCTTGTTAATTGTTGACTGTTAACTATCCTGTACCTACCTATGTAAAAGAGGTATGGTTTATCATTTTACTTTTTATCCAAACCCAGAAGTTTTCCCCCCCTCCTTTGCTTTCTCCTGTCTCCCTAACCCAGTGGTCGGCAAACTGTGGCTCGCGAGCCACATGCAGCTCTTTGGTCCCTTGAGTGTGGCTCTTCCACAAAATACTGACTTCTGCGCATGGACCATGAAGTTTCAATCGCACCGTACATGCGCGCCCGCACATGGTATTTTGTGATAGAGCCACACTCAAGGGGCCACAGAGCCGCATGTGGCTTGCCAGCTGCAGTTTGCCGACCACTGCTTACCATTAGATTTCATGTAACCCACTTACGTCTCCTCCTTTGATCCGTAATGTATAAAACAAGGAGAAAAACCACCATTCTCCAGAGCACTATCTTAATACATTGAGATTCTGCTTCCAGGCAATTGTCAACAGTTTGGCTCAAATAAGCTCACAAAAATTCTTTACAGGTGTTATGCCCAGATTTCAAGATCCCCAAGAGCCCACCAGGGAGCCAGCGAGTCCTATGCAAAAGCAGAGAGTCCTTTATTCGAACTAGTTCGGCTCCCCGACCACACTCACCGATGCAACAATGCAACGGTAAGCCCAGTGGCAGAGAGCCCGCCCGTGGGAAAAAATGGGGTTTTAATAGGGGGGTGGAGTGAGGGGAGGGGAGATGAATGTGGGCCCTGCCGATTGGCTAGGTGCAAGTTGGGTATGTGGTCATCTCCATGGCAGGCACGTCCCCTGATTGTCATTGGTTAGTTTAAAAAGATTTCGGGCATGGCCAGCAGAGGCCTGGGCTTCCGGGAAGAAGGTACTTTCCTGAGCACATGGCTGCTGCCCCAACATGGAGGATACAGGGCAAGATGGAGGGCATAGCCCTCGCCCTTTCGACAGATTTGAATTTTTTTTATGTTAAAACTAGAGGCCCCTAGCCAAACCGGTTTGGCTCAGTGGATAGAGCGTCGGCCTGCGGACTGAAGGGTCCCGGGTTCGATTCTGGTCAAGGGCATGTACCTTGGTTGCGGGCACATCCCCAGTAGGTGTGCAGGAGGCAGCTGGTCGATGTTTCTCTCTCATCGATGTTCCTAACTCTCTATCCCTCTCCCTTCCTCTCTGTAAAAAATCAATAAAATATATTTAAAAAAAAAAAAAAACTAGAGGCCCAATGCATGAAATCCATGCAAGAGTAGGCCTTCCTTCCCCCAGCTGCCGGCACCGGCTTCCCTCTGGCACCAGGGACCCAGGCTTATATCTCAGGTAATTAGATATCAAGGATAGGGATTATGGCTGAACTGATTTAGCTGGATTCTTGCTAAAACTGTGCTCTACAGACATGCCCAAGGATGGTGCCTAGTTGAAAAAGAGCTCAGAGGAACCTGATGAGATTAGTGGAGAGACTCTTTGTCAGGGCCTTTACTGGGGGAATAGAAGCCAGCAGAACTTTTGGTCGCTGAGCAGGTTGGTGTGATAAACTAGCATCTCAAACTCATGGCCTGTTCTCCAAATGGGACATTTATTAAGTACTGGAGTGACACGGGAGACTGGGGAACCTGGGAAGCAAACACTATCTTCCGGAGTCTCATAGTGTTAACAAGAAAAGTATTCTAAGATGTTTTAAATTAAATTACAGTGAGCTGGAGAGTGAAAGAGCCTGGGCCACCTGACAAAAGACTGCTGATATTTCTGAATGTATGTGGGAACTTTGAATCAACATCCAGACATCTACTAGCTGACCACTAAATAGGCCACTGCACCCTGCGTGTGCATGAACTTTCAGGACCGCTGCCTCTATCCAATCAAAAGTGGTAAATATTTCTTCTTTATATACTGGGTTCGTATCCTAGAATCCACCCGCCCCCCTCCACCCCAACCTCACCCCCTTTCACATTATTTCATCCCCATAATCTACAGCCAGTGTAAATTCTTTCAAAACAACTTACATCTTTTTCCCCAAAAACATAATGTATAAAAAGCGCTCCTCAACTTCAGGATAGCAGACAGCAACTCCACTTAAAGTTGCTGCTGGTGGTTTAGACTTCACGCCCCAGGACCGGTCCTTTCTGGTCCAATAAACTTTTTCTTTTAAAAAGCTTTTAGCCTTAAGTTATTTGTTTAAGAGTGCTTAGGAGACAAAGCCTCCCAGCAAACACAGCAGGGGTCTTCACCTCAAGATAGTTTCCACATTTTGCATCTTTTGAGCTGGAAGAGAAGAAAAGTAAGCCACTCCAGATTCATTTATCCTCACCTCCATCGTCCCCAGCTTCACTCATTTGCCCTTGTTTTCTGGCCAGAGCAGTCCTTAAAATGGCTCGTGCTGATGTTGTGATAATAAAACTAGCGACCAGGAGAGCTCACCCTACCTGTGCTCTGGTTGTAAGGACCTATGGGGTAGATGGAAATCCCAGTAGATCCTTGGAGGACCCAGGTAACATAATCCAGAACTGGGGAGGATGCAATGTGCTGTTGGGAAGTCGTTGACCAAGGGGAGAGGAAAACAGGAAGAAACAGCAGATAAATTGTTCACTTTTCCTCCCCCCACCAACGGGCTATTCCTGGATGTGGTGGTTTTATATCATTCTCAGGAGACATCCCGCAAGGCCAAAGAACCAATTTGGCCATTCCTATCATGCATCCCTTGTATTTGCTTTTCCTCTTTCCCTGCCTCACTTCCTCTTGTGCCCCTTATTCATTTCTCCCTGACATTGTATTGCCATCTCCCAATAAAGGAATAGCACATAAGCCTTTGGCTCAAGCATTGTATTGTGGAGAGCCTAGCATACACCATCAGGGAATTTAACCATAAGTCTGCATTCATAGCCACAGAGGTTAGTAGTTTTATATTCATTTATTAAAAGATGAGGCAAGAAAATTTCATTTTCTAGATTTCCTACTTCTTAAATCTGAACTATTAGCAGAAATTGTATAAAATGTGTGAGACTTCAATCACCTTTCTAGCCTGTTTTTTTTTAATAATTCAGATGATTATTAAAAGACATTGTTTGTGATAAATTATTAAATCTATTTAATGCCTCATGAGGAAAGTCCTCTTCATTTTTACATGAGATGAGAAATTATATAACTCCTAAACCGCTGTATTTAGAACAATATTTTTCACTGAATTTCCTGAATGTATGAATGCTTAAGAGGGCAACTTTCCCATTGGATGATAGCCAAGATCAATAGCTTTCTGCCAGTTTAAGTATAGATTTAACTGGAGTAAAGGATCTCTTCAAGAACTTTGTATCATTCTACAGAAGCAGGAGGAAGAGGAGTAATGCGGCTCAGAAACAGGTATTTAAGTAAAGTCGTGGTCCATCCTGAATCTTTAGTGACCATGTAGTGGGATCATTCAAAGAACAACATCTGAGCACACGATGGGCAAAATCACATAATTTTTTTCTCTTTCAGTCAAGCTTTTCACATATAAACTTAGTTAGTAGTACTTCAGTATAAAATTTCTTTCCAGAAGGATCTATTTTCTCCTATGTCAGTGAAACAAGTTGAGATCTTAAGTGAGAAATGAGATTATCTGATACCTAGCAACAAGGCTAATTAGCATCCATCTCAGAGCAGTATAAGTAGCTAGGTCTGTACTTCCTTGAATGTATAATCAGAATGAATTGTTGTTATTATTATTATTATTATTACTGTTTTTGTTTATTTTGTTGTTGCTTATTTTTTTTACAGACTAATCTCTGCATTAAAGTTATTCATTCATTCATCTATTTATTTTTGAACAACCAGGTTCTCTACTTCTGATGAAAGAAACCCCAAATTTTGGCCACCACCCCAATATCAGCCCATGATTGAACAGTAGAGCTAATCCCCACTTCTAGATCTCGAAGTGGATATGGTACTCATGTCTAGCCAGTTAGTATGTTTCATCCCATTGGCCAAAGTGCTATTTCCAGGACTGGACACATGACCCAAATCAAGCTAATGATTGTGAAGTTTGAGTGGCTGAGAAAGAGAAAAGCCCCTCCCTGAACAAACCCACCATATTGGACACCAACCCTATAGACAGCAAGAGTGCAAGTCCTGGTCTCAATTTTTAACCCTTGAGTTTGGCTTTGGATATTTCAATTTTATGAGTCAATAGATTCCATTTCATTGTTGTAGCAGACACTTTCAGCCGGTTTCTGTCACTTGTATTCCAAAGAGTCCTGACAACATAGAAGTTGGTTTTAGCGGTGAAAATTACATATAATAGAATCTAAAATGTAGACTATGCTGAATTGATGTGCTGTGGAGGGAAATGACTATCCCTTTGTCCCTGAGATGGAACGTTGGAAACTCTTATCTATGGTGATAGAAAAGCAATTGTGTAAACTATTGCCTGTGTATCTGTGTATTCCAAATCTGTTTCTACCAAATCTGAAATCTTAGGGAAATTGATAGAAAAAAAGAAAGTCAGGGTGTGTTTGCTACTCATTGCAACCCTCAGGAATTTTCTGCAATAAAAACAACTACAATTGAAGCTAGGATATTTAAAAGGAGATATGATAGATTAGACAGATAGATAGATAGATAGATAGATAGATAGATAGATAGATAGATGATAGATAGATAGATAGATAGATAGATAGATAGATAGATAGATAATTTGAATGTACATCTTTGCTAAGAAAGATGTTTTTGCACAGTCAGCAAAGTAAAATAGATATTTCTTATTGCTACGTTGGGAAAGTCAAAATATTTGTTTGGAGACTGCGTTAAAAGTGACAGATAAGAATAGGACTGCCCTAGCCAGGTGACTCAGTTGGTGGGAGTGATGTGTATGGGATTCCCAGTCAGGGCACATATCCAGGTTTTGGGCTTCATCCCCAGTAGGAACTGAAGAACTGATCAAAATGGATAGGAAAGACTGAGAGTCACTCTGACTACAAACCCCACCCCTGCCACGTCACATTGCAATCAGGAGGGAACCTGCAACTCCCTAAGGAATGAAGAGCTTGGACAACACATTTATTGCCCCAACTTTTATGGTTGCCATCCAAGGGACTGGCTTCTGGCTCACCTATATCTGGGAGCTGACGGGCCTGGCATTCACTAGTCCCCAAAGACCACTGAAATCCAAGAAGTGGTTTGTTTGTTTTTTCAATTACAGTTGACATTCAATATTACATTAGTTTCAGGTATACAGCATAGTGGTTAGATATTTATGTAACTTACAAAGTGATCCCTGTTAAGTGTAGGACCCACCTGCACATACATAGCTATTACAATATTGTTGACTCTATTCTCTGTGCTGTATTTTACATCCCTGTGACTGATTCTTAACTGCCAATTTGTACTTCTTAATCCCTCCTCCTTTTTCATCCAGCACCCCAACCCATCACTGACCACATAACAAGCCCTCAGTAAATATTGGTCGATAATAGTATTTCTGTGCAATATTTGAATGGGAATTGAAGAAAAAATGTTGCACTTTGCCTGTATGCAGATGTACTCTGAAATTAATTGTGGTTTGTGAGAACTGAAAGTCACTAGCTATCAAGCATGAAGATTTATTATTTTTTATTAATTTTCTTTTGTTAAGGAAAACGAGGTACAGTGAAGCATTACTATTTCATGAGAAGGTAAGGTTCAAGTCCTTGTTTTTCTCTTTATAATGTGGTGTGGGGGTGGTCATTTACCTACTCAATCTAAGCCTTTTGGTTGCTTCATCTCTAAAAATGAAATAATAATACCTGCTCTGCCTCCCCTACAAGGGTGTTGTTTTGAAATGAAGAGTGTGATGCACATGCTGGGGTTCAGGGATTACTTATAGCTTCTCGATGTTGCTTCCTTCTAAGGTTTGACATGGTAGTATTTTGAAATGTTATATTGCTCCCCAGAAGCAAACTTGCAAAACTAATGATGAAAAATAATAACAAGAAATAAGTTGCACATCACGCTTACTTAAATTAATGGTGTTTCCGAAACCGTACTGACGTCTAAGTGGAAAGTGAATTCCACTTATAATTGTTCTGGCTCAGTTTGTACTATGGCAACAGAAGAGCTTGTCCGAATGCCCAGAATTTTACCTTTCAAAAGTCACAGTTCCGAGAAGTGCACCAGGAAATGGCTTTGGAATCCAGAGCCCAGGGCCACGTCTCTGTGTGGGAATTTGCCGGGGAGACAAAGCATGGTGTTCAGCAGCACCCACCCCAGGGTCCTTAAATGGGGTGATTTCTGTGCGCGAATTTCCTGGAGCCTGAAGGTTTGTAGGAGCGCTGTCTCTCCTGCTCCGATCCTTTTGTGTCACCTTAGAAGACGCCTTGGCTTGTATTTTCTTTAAGATGCTCTGAAGGTATCTGCTTGGATGTTATCTGAGAATGTGAAGACTCCCCAAGGATTTGAAAGCCATTTGATGACCCCTAACATTTGCGTCTGCTTTTTTTTCAGCTCAACTTCTCATGGCCAGTGGACTGGATCCAGGTGAGAAGTAGCATTGCCTGAATTGAACTCTGTACCAGGACACTGTAGGCATGAAGGCTGTGGTTGGACATGTCGCAACATTGCTCCTCCTCCCTCCTTTGCTTTCCCTTGCAGACTAACTAGTAAAGACAAATAATCCAAACACTAAATTCCTAGAACGAACTCAACCAGGAGAGCACAGCTGGGAGGTTTTTCCTAGATAGCAGGACTACACTCCAATCCCAAATCAAATCTTTTATTTGTCTATCTGATAGATTCTTGTTGAGTGCTTCTATATCCTCTAAGACTAAATATCTCTTAAATCACCTTTAAAGAGAGAGAACATGTTTGGAGAAGAAGAAATTATTTCTTTTTCTATTTTAATGTCTTTCATTTTAAATATGGTGCCATTTTTAAAAACTGAAGAATAACTGTAGTAGAGGGAAACAATGTATTTTCAAGTTTTCTTCTTTTGTTTATGTAAAGCAGAGTTTTCATTCAATGGAGATACGTAGATCTGTTTGAGAGGCAGTAAAAATTTTTGATTGTTGTTCTGTGTTTTGATTTTGATTTCCCATTCTTTGATTTTTTTCAAAGAGCACTCAGATTTGGTCCTTGTTTTTGCTGTACCGATGGAATCATTCTGTGTTTGGAAATATTTCATTGTGAAATGTGTGCCTGCAGAGATTTAATCAGATAGAATTCATTTTCCCAAATGCTACAAATTTGGGTTGATTTCTTTTACTGGTTGACATTTTTTTGTCTAAAAATCTGCTAACAACTGGCCATGTTTTGACTTAAGATAGGAGCTTAGATAAATGATCGTGTGAGGTCAATGGGGATCAACCCATGTTTTGGAAAGATAGGCTATAGAAAGAAGAAAAGAGTACCTGCTCTTATACTAGAGCCCCGGTGCACAAAATTCATGCACTGAAGGGGGCGGTCCCTCAGCCTGGCCTGCGCCCTCTTGCAGTCCAGGAGCCCTCGGGGGATGTCTGACTGACAGCTTAGGGGAGCGGGCCTAAGCCTGCAGTCAGACATCCTTAGCGCTGCCGCAGAGGAAGGAGAGGCTCCTGCCACCACCACTGTCCTCACCAACCCTGAACCCAGCTTCTGGCTGAGCAGTGCTCCCCCTGTGGGAGCGCACTGACCACGAGGGAGCAGCTCCTGTGTTGAACATCTGCCACCTGGTGGTCAGTGTGTGTCATAGCAACAGGTCATTCTGCCATTGGGTCGACTTGCATATTAGCCTTTTATTATATAGGATTTGACTTCCCAGGTATCAGTTAGCAGATATATACTAGTTTATACTAGAGAGAGAGAGTGGAAGGGCTGGGGAGAGACAGACAGAGAGAAACATATCAATGAGAGACACATCAATTGGATGCCTCCCACATGTGCCCCGACCAGGGCAGGGGTTGAACCTGGGACCCTTCATTCTGTGGGCCGATGCTCTATCCACTGAGCAAAACTGGCTAGGGCCAGATATATTATTTTTGTGATATTGGTTTGGTTTTGCAGTTGGGAGTTAAAAGAATTCTTCAGTAGCATAGTAGCTCAAGATTTTTAGTTTGTCTTCATTACACCAAGAGTGTAAAGAACTTATTCAGATGAGTTGTGTACATAACACCAAATATCTGGATATTTGAAAACCTACCAATAGCTTGGTAATGTTTTCCAGTTTTTAATCTGGACATAGTACTGTGTATGAGCCCAAAATAGGAATCCTGCTGTATAAAGGTGATTCATTGCAAAACATGATATGTCATCACACATTTTATTTTGCATGACTGCAATCCTGGATACTATGCTTTCTTTATATATTTTGTCACTGTTTACAATTCAGCGGTTCTCAACCTGTGGGTCGCGACCCCTTTGGCGGTCGAACGACCCTTTCACAGGGGTCACCTAAGACCATCCTGCATATCAGATATTTACAGTAGCAACATTACAGTTATGAAGTAGCAACGAAAATAATTTTATGGTTGGGTCACAACATGAGGAACTGTATTTAAAGGGCCAGAAGGTTGAGAACCACTGGTTTACATCATCATTACATAATTGCCAGAGAGAGAGAGAAAGATTTTTAAAAAGTCTGGAGGAAATCTATATAATAAAAGCCTAAGCAACCTTTACGGCGGGACGACCAGAATGACCAGCAGCCATGATGCGCACTGAGCAGGCAGGAAGGCAAGCGGTTAGGGGTGATCAGGCAGGCAGGCAGGCGAGTGGTTAGGGGTTATCATACAGGCAGGCAGGTGAGCAGTTAGGGGTGATCAGGCAGGCAGGCGAGTGCTTAGGAGTGAGCAGTCCCGGACTGCGAAAGGGCACAGGCCAGGCTGAGGGCCCCCCGCCCCCACCGTGCCAGTGCATGATTTCGTGCACCAGACCTCTAGTTTCAAAATAACAGTAAAGTAACTGAATCAATTCTGACTAAGCTATCAGTTCAGTTTTATACGTAGTCCTCTTTGTGCCACCCCAGAGTTCCAGTTACTTCCTCAGGTGCCTATTTCCTGCCTTCCCGGACTAAAAACACCTGTAAGAGAAAGCCACCCTTTTTGAAGGCTCGAAAGCCTTTGACCATCTGTTTCTATTCCCAGTGCCTAACCTTCTTTTTGGCACCTATTGAATTCTTCAGTTCAATTATTGCATATTTCAGCTCCAAACTTTCCATGTTGTTCTTTTTTATGTTTTCTATCTCTTTGTTAAATTTGACATCTTTTTCTTGTATTGCTTTCCTATCATTAATTGTTTATCTGTGTTCTCTTGTAGTTCTCTGATCATTTTGAGAACAATCATTTTGAATGATTTCTCAGTTACTGGAGGTTACAGTATTCCTTTAATGGAGTCATGCTTCTGAGTCTCTCTAATTCCTGTAGCCTCGTGTAGGTGGCTGCACATTTGAAGAAGCATTCATCTCTTCGAGACTTTATAAGAAAGATTTCCACCTACAGGCAGAGGCACACTGGAGTGTGATGTGTCCCTGGGTCTAGTGGAACAGGGTGCCAAGTGAGAGATGTGTGGTGTCACGGGGCTGGGGTAGAGGGCATGATGTCTCTTCACCTCAGGCCACTGGGAGCACAGCATCGACAACTGTGTAGTCCCTTGGCAAGGGCTACTGAATGTCGACAGTGGCGGCAATAGCTATCAGGTTCCTTAGCTGTGCCTCCATGTTCAGTGGTTAGGAACTGAAGGGGGTGGCCAGAGCTGGTGATATACATACAATTGGCTGTGGGGACCAGCTTCATGTGCCTGTGTAGAGGTGGCAGGCACACATATGTAGTTGTTGGGGCCAAGATAGACAACTGCTGGAGTACCGGTAGTTTGGAGGCCCTGGCAGTCGACACATACTACATTGCTTGCTGGGTCTCAGTCCAGGTTCCAAGGTGACCTGCTTTACAGACAAACCTGCAGTGCAGCAGGGTGAGGGTGTTGGACTGATGGCATGCAGGTGATCGGCTGTAGGGACTAGAGCTCAGGGGACCGCAGTGGGGCAGGCCAGTGACAGGAGACAGAGCCTTCTCTGGGCCCACAGGCTTTGGTAGGCATGGCTGCCAGGCGTGCCCTGGTGACTGCAGAATCTTCCCTGGGTGTGCAAACACAGTGAAAGGCTCGTGAGGGGTGTCAGGCTGGCGGTGTGCAGTTGCACAGCTGGAGGGGCTAGACCCTAGCACACACACAGCTGTGGAGACAGCATTGGGGTTCTCAACTGGTATTTTGCAATCGCAAAGCCTCCAAGGCCTGGGGTGGCTTCTGATGCAATTCCTGGGTTCCAAAGGTGGAGGGAGGGTACAGGGTGGGACTCAGATGGCCGGAGTCAGTGAATGTGAATGCCCATAGGGAAAGCTGCCAAAATCTGCAGGGAGTTTACGGCAACCATGCTGGCCATTTGTTTCTTCCTTATTGTTGAAAGCAGCTGGTTTGTCTGTAAAGCAGGTCACTGTGAACCTCAGTCACTTCCGTGCACGGCTGCTATGGTAACCACCACTTTTCTTTATTGTTCTAGCCATCTCTCCATGTCTCAGCGTTGCCGACCTGGGTAGGGTGAAATTGAAGTGGAACCCTCATGCAGTGCCCCGGAGGGCTAGGGATGCTAGTAGCTCACCCCACTCTTCGTTTCCTAGTGAGGGAAACTTTTTCTAGCTGGGGAGTTCTCTCTTGGCAATAAACAATGCCAGTTTGGGGGATGAGATGATGCAGGGAAAATAAAGCTGTATTCCTTCTCTTTCTGTGTGGTTATCCTCAGGGGTTTTTTGTGTGGCCGAAGTTTCTTAAATGGAATCCAGTGCTCTCCCAGAGCTGTTTTTGTTCATTGAGAGCTGTCTAATTGTTGATCTTTGTCGGGGGGCAGAGGCTGGAGTCTCCTATCACCATCTTGATGATGTCATGTTGGCCTCAGTAAATGCTGATGAATGTACAGATGCAGTTCTTACCACAACCCATGGTTGTCGTGTTATCATTGACAATATTTCACAAAAGTGCAAACAGCCTCTAAATCAGTGGTTCTCAACCTTCCTAATGCCACGACCCTTTAATACAGTTCCTCATGTTGTGGTGACCCCCAACCATAAAATTATTTTCGGTGCTACTTCATAACTGTACTTTTGCTACTGTTATGAATCGTAATGTAAATATCTGATATGCAGGATGTATTTTCATTGTTACAAATTGAACATAATTTAAGCATAGTGATTAATCACAAAAACAATATGTAATTATATATGTGTTTTCCGATGGCCTTAGGCTACCCCTGTGAAAGGGTCATTCGACCCCCCAAAGGGGTCGCGACCCACAGGTTGAGAAGCACTGCTCTAAATGGTCAGGATCTGCTATGTCCCATGCTTAGAAGTGTATACTTCTGATGATATAGACCTTTTTTTACCGTGTCCTCTAGCTGACTATGAGTGACACAACTTTTTATTTGGGGACTGTGTGCCACTTCTTTCAGGTCCAGAAATATACACTTCTAAGTAGAAAGGGTGGCCACCAGCTGGCCTCACTGTACACACAAAGGGTACGCAACCTCTAGGATTTGCTCAATGATTTATGTGGGCCATTTCCATTGGCACCTGGGATGGGGAGATACTCTATTTACTTCAGAGTTTTGTTGAGTCTCAAATAAGACAATGTGTGTGAACACTCTTTGAAAATTATAAAACACTATAGAAAATAGCATCCTATCTAATAAAAGAGAAACATGGTAATTGGCGTACGACCGCTACCCTTCCCATTGGCTAATCAGGGCAATATGCAAATTAACTGCCAGCCAAGATGGCGGCCGGCAGCCAGGCAGCTTAACTGAACATGAGGCTTGCTTGCTTCAGTGACGGAGGACTCCAACATTCCCCGCCTGCCGCTGCAGACCTCTGAGCCTGTAGTTTGAAACATAGTTACAAATATAGAAGCTAAACAAAACTCCAGAAACCTGCTTTCAGCGAGCCGGGATATCAGAGCTGGAGTTGATACAGAGTTTCGATTATAGAACTGAAACAAACCAGATACCTTCTTTCAGCAGCGGAGGCCTAAGAGCTGGAGCCTCAGAGCTAAAGCTGGCCCAGAATAAAAAAAAGAAAAGAAAAAAAGGAGCAGTTGGGAGCTTCCGTCACCCGCCAGCCTGAAAACAGCCCTCAGCTCCTCATCCAGACTGGCCAGGCACCCCAGTGGGGACCCCCACCCTGAAAGGTGTGTGACCAGCTGCAAACAGCCATCATCCCCTCATCCAGGCTGGCCAGGCACCCCAGTGGGGACCCCCACCCTGAAGGGTGTGTGACCAGCTGCAAACAGCCATCATCCCCTCATCCAGGCTAGCCAGGCACCCCAGTGGGGACCCCCACCCTGATCCAGGACACCCTTCAGGGCAAACCAGCCAGCCCCCACCCATGCACCAGGCCTCTATTCTATATAGTAAAAGGGTAATATCGGCCCTGCTCTGTTCCTGACAGGGGAAGGCGCCCCAACCCCCTGATCGGCCCTGCTCTGTGCCTGATAGGGGGGAGCTCCCCAAACCCTGATCACCCTGCTTCTCTGTGTGACAGGGTACGGCACCCCAACCCCCCCATCCCACGGGCCCTGTTCTGTGTGTGATGGGGTGCGGAGCCCCAACCCTCCACCCCCATGGGCCCTGCTCTGTGTGTAACAGGGTAGAGCCATAACCTCCCCATCGGCCCTTTCCTGAGTGTGAGAGTGGCAGCGCCCCAACCCCCTGATCGGCCCTGCTCTGTGGGTGAAGAGGGTGGTGCCCCAACTCCCTTATCGACCCTACTCTGTGAGTGACAGGGGGGAGCTCCCCAACCCCCTGATTGACCCTGCTCTGTGCATGACAGGGGGTGGCGCCGCAACCTCCCCATCGACCCTGCCTTGAGTGTGACAGGGGGCGGTGCCCCAACCCCCCAATCGGCCCTACCCTGAGCGTGACTGAGGGTGGCATCACAACCTCCCAATCCGCCCTGCTCTGTGCATGACAGGGGGCGGTGCCCCAACTCCCCAATCAGCCCTGCTCTGAGCCCGACCAGGGGCTGCACCTAGGGATTAGGCCTGCCCTCTGCCACCCAGGAGCAGGCCTAAGCCAGCAGGTTGTTATCTCCCGAGGGGTCCCAGACTGCGAGAGGGCACAGGCCGGGCTGAGGGACCCCCCCCCCCCGAGTGCACAAATTTTTGTGCACTGGGCCTCTAGTCTATACTAATAAAAAAGTAATATGCTAATTAGACCAGACATCTTCCAGATGTCCTTCTGGATGTCCTTCCAGATAAAGCCATAGTGGCGGGGGCGGAGGCAGAGGCAGTTAGGGGAAATCAGTCTGGCAGGGGAGAGCAGTTAGGGGAGATTAGGCCGGCAGGGGAGAGCAGTTAGGGATGATCAGGCCAGCAGGGGAGAGCGGTAGGGGCAATCAAACCTGCAGGGAGAGCAGTTAGGGGCAATCGGGCCAGCAGGGAAGAGTAGTTAGGGGGGTCAGGCAAGCATGCAGAGTGGTTAGGGGCAATCAGGCCAGCAGGGGAGAGCGGTTAGGGGTGATCAGGCTGACAGGGGAGAACAGTTAGGGATTATCAGACCGGTAGGGAGAGTGGTTAGGGGCAATCAGGCCAGCAGGGGAGGACAGTTAGGGGGGTCAGGCCTGCAGGCAGAGCGGTTAGGGGCAATCAGGCAGGCAGGCAGGTAAGCAGTTAGGAGCCAGCGGTCCCGGATAGTGAGAGGGATGTCCGACTGCCAGTTTAGGCCCAATCCCGCGGGAAACCGGCAGTCAGACAACCCCCGAGGGGTCCCAGATTGCGAGAGGGTGCAGGCGGGGCTGAGGGATTCCTCCCCACTCCCCTGTGCATGAATTTCATGCACCAGGCCTCTAGTATTATTAATAATGCTAAATAAATTGTTAGGTAAATTTATCCTTATGAATCTATGCTGTCACTACTCACAGAGTGGATTGTGTGTTATCAAATCTTGCTACATACTGGGCTAGGCAATTCTCTGATTTCCTTGTCTCTTAAAGAATTGAACTTTGTACATTTCCATGTTTTATAGTATTTTACTCCAGTAAACATTTACCCCTTTACTTTTCTGTTTAAGGATTTCCTGGTTTTATGTAGTGGCTTCACGTGACTGTTAATTTTGTTTTACATTTTGGAAGAAGAGTACATATTGGGCAATTTGTCCCTTTTATTTAACCTTTTCTAACACTATTGAGAAACTATAAGAAATTGTTCTTTGATAGTTTCCACTTTTCATAGTGACTCAAGTTCTATGGGGCAAGATTTTTCTATTTTAAAATAAGTCTTTATCTTACTCAACTCACATGGGTTGCTGTTTGTCCTGATTGGCCAGACACTGGAAAACTGTAGAAGACATTTTCACAATGGCTCAGCATTTCAAAATCCAGGCAGATATTAAAAACTATGAATTTTCCAGACACTCCAAATTTCAGATCAGAATTTTACTTAAAATGCTTAATGCATTCGCTATTGATATGATATTCGGTTTATTCTAAAATCTATTCGAACATGTGTGTGCCTCTCATGCTGCAGGCGAGCAACAAAAGTCCAACACGGATTGGCGCGTTTAAGGTCGTGCCCTCGGGTGGGAAGAGAACCTGGAGCTCCTGCGTGACTTTCCCTGCGTCATACCGCCTACCTTGCAGTACTCTGGAGCCTTTTGCGGCAGAAAGCTGCCAACCTCAATTCTTGCTGGACTCCGTCCTTGAGCATGTACCTAATCACGCTGTCTCTTAGGGGATTTGATGCTGCGGGAATTTCTGCATCTTGTATTCATGGCCACATATGGTCTAGTGTCATGTTGGCTCCAGAAAGTTGCAAAGACTAGTGCAGTGTGTGTAGTTCTGACCTGGACATCTGAAATATACTTGAAAAAGATAGAAATTATTCTCTTTGTTTTTCAAAAAAGTTACAACTTCGGTGGATTTAACCTCTGACCCGTTTTTTCTTATCATTACTAATAAAAGAACCCTCATCACTTTTAGATTATTTTACAACAATGCTCAGGTCTCAGCTCACAAAATGATCTGAGAAATATCTTTAGACATGGTAAATATAAAAATAGTCTTCCTTTGTAAAATTAATTACTCACAGTGACTTCATTCATTAATTGCCTCAAAATCTTGCCCTCAGTAGGAACCTCCATATTCACAAAAGAAAAGCAGGCATGCCCTAACTGGTTTGGCTCAGTGGATAGAGCGTCAGCCTGCGGACTCAAGGGTCCCAGGTTCGATTCCGGTCAAGGGCATGTACCTTGGTTGCAGGCACATCCCCAATTGGGGTTATGCAGGAGGAAGCTGATCGATGTTTCTAACTCTCTGACCCTCTCCCTTCCTCTCTGTAAAAAATCAATAAAATATATTAAAAGAAAAAAAAGAAAAGCAGGCATGGAAGGGAAGCTGAGTGGGAGTAGAAGCAAAGCATGGCTCTCCCCTCTTATCCTTCATAACGTTCTGTATTTGTAAACCTTTAAGTCAAATTTTTCATACCTTTGGAGAAATCATTGAGCATTTTTTATTTGGGACCTTTGCTAAATTCAGTTAAAGGTAATTTTAGGAAGACTCTGTCCTCCGATATAAGCCACCCTTGTTCTAGTGGGCACCTGGTCCATCTCTGGGCGTCAGTGACGATCTGAAGTGTTTCCTAATGCTGAGTCCAAATCTGTTTTCCTACTGTTGTTTCTTGAGGCTGCAATGAGGTAGAGTATGACTC